CCAAGCTACAGCAGCCACACAGTGAGGGCAAGATTGCTGTGTGACGGCGTGTTTAGTAATTGAACGTCATCCAAACTCGATTGCTGCTTGGAGTGGAACAGCTCTGAATAGTTTAATATCACCTTGAGCCCAAGGCAATGAATGTCTGGTTGACAAAGAATCTGGTTACTTTCAGCATTGAGCATTTCTGTGTGTGAGAGTGAAAGAGAGCATGTTTGTATGCAAATAATTGCTTTTTGCAGGTAAGAACCTGCATTTGTTATGCAATGTCTTTCAAAACCTGAGAAATTGCATGTGCCTATTTGTTTACGCCCATATGTCTCTGTCGATGTCCATGAGTTTTCTAGTTCATTTGCTGCTATTGCTCATCTGGAACCAAAAATAGTTCATAAACAAAACCCAGGTGTTTCTCTGGTTTCTAAATCTTCTAAAACACGGAAAACAAATGAAAACTCCCACAGAAAAAGAAACTAATTGAGGAAAGAATTATCCTGCCTTCTAAATCCTTTGTTTTCTAAACGCGGGTCTCTCACTGTGCCAGAGTTAAAGAGATTGAGCACTGAAGATGTATTGGCTTATCCTCAGGTATTTAATCAGTCAGACTAATGAAATTAATTGAGCCAGAGAGAACTGATTGCCTGTGACATTTACAAGTCCCCTGAGAGCATGTTCATGTGCTTGTGAACTTACCTCCACAATTATTCTTCAACAATCAGAGGAAAAGAAATAACTAACTAAATAACTAGGACTTTGCATCATCAGTGTGATTCAAGGATTCTGACATCTATTGTCTTCACTTGAAAGGATAGTTTGTTCAGAAATGATAATTATGCCTTCGTTTACTCTAAACTACGGTGGCCGAGAAGTGCAAAACAAATCACAAGTCTAAAAAACAAAATAACAAATTACAAATGCAAATGCAAGTCTAAAAAACAAAATAACAATTCAGAAAACACAACAACAATTCAGAAAACATTATAACAAGTCAGAAAACACAATGACAAATTCGAAAACAAAATAACAAGTCAGAAAACACAACGACAAATCCGAAAACAAATTAACAAGTCAGACAAACTGGAAGAGGTAGGTATAGTTTGAGACAGCGCCATTGGTTTGGGATTACTCACCGCTGACTGGACGAGACATCTGTCAATCAACGTATACAGGGAAGAACCAGCCAAAGAACAGCAGAGTCGTGGTAGAAAGTTCGGAGATGGTATTAAAGTAGCTCAGTTTAAACGTATTGTATGAATTGCCCTTACTATGGAATAAAAAATACGGGGTGTCTATTTACATTTAGTTAAAAGTGGCTGTAAATAATCAGCTGCAGTGGCGCAGATGTATAAGCGCATGTCGTTGGCTTTTTGACGCGATCAACCCGGGTTCGATCTTGTCTTTTGCCGAACTTTTTTTTCCTCCCTTGCTGGCCTTTGGTCACCACACTTACAATTGCCCTGCCTGTTTAGTTGTCCAATTTGGTGGGACGGCCTGACTGAAGGCTGGGTTGTGTTATACATTTCCATTTTATTACATGGACTTCACAATGCTCCAAGAAAAGCATGGTGGTATTTGAACAGTGTCCAGCTTTATCTAAAAGTACCAAGGACAGCTCCCTGGTCTCAATGGCAGCACGACTGTTCTGATCTAATGCTTTAATTGAGATACCTCACGAAGACATTTTGTTATGTATTTTCATGACAAATCTTGACATTGATGTTTGTTGTGTAATTGAGCAATCGAATGTGTACCCTTCTACAATTTTGATGTAATTGTTTTTAGATAGTTCTATGTAATTTATTCTATATAGACACCTCACCCATTGTAGCTGTTAAACAATGGGGCTGAATCTTAAGTGGAGCTTTATTACTTAAATGTTTAGGCAGTGATTGCCTGTTGTTGCTGATGAAAAAATCTCAGTATGTTTTTTTTTTTTGGAAGTATTGGCAAGCCTTCATAAATGAAATCAAACAATATTCTCTATATACTATTAATTTGAATGATGCTGTGTTTTTTTGTAAGATAATTTTATGAAATAAAAGCCATACATTTAATAAATGCCAAAAATAAAAATAAACACTGTTAAAATAGGGGGCAATGAACTGTATTAAAATGAAGAAATTTTCTGTATAGATTTTAAAAAATGTTTTTTACCTGTATTTTGAATTTTGCACTTCATTGGATGGATAATAGATAATACCCTGGCAGAAAATTTCCAGTACTTTTTTTCAGTACATGCAGTGTAATATGTTTATTTAATTTTTTCATGCTCATAGCAGCTAGTTTAAATTAGGTTGTCAATAAAGTGCTGCTACTTGCACTTGAAAGAAGTTTTTTTTTATTCAGATAAATAAAGAAAGATTAGTCAAATGCCCATTGTGAATATTGAATTATTGTCTGACACATTTTATAGTCCAGTTGGAGCTCTGCCAAGATATACTGAAAGCAAAGATCTTTACAGTTGTGCTCATCAATGTATGTCACACATCCAAATCTAAAGTATATCCTGGTGGACATGCTCTGACAAGCTATAGAAACCTATGATTTAATGATATCCACCTTGAGGACAAAATGGGCTTATTATTTTCTAAAGGGGTTTCATGTATCTTGCAGTCACACTTTGCTATCCATTACATTTTGCCCGTGCTCTACTACCCACAAAGAGAGGCACCAGTAGACGTCAGAGAATATTCTCTTTCACGTTTAAGTCATTTGGAACGTGTACGTGTATACTTACACTTGTCAGTCAGCCTCGGTTGTAATCATATTCATGTAAAATAAGCACCTGAATAGTGCAATTGAACGTCAAGGTAGCGTCAACATGTATTTTCATTTTCCATATTTGTGTATCTTTAAGGTGTGTATACTGTAGATTAGATGAAGCTAGCTATCCAAGTCAAGCTAAGGAAATCAGACACATATGTGTGGGATTTTACTCAGTGTCTAGCAAAAAGTACTGCAATACTGAAAACTTCTTAATTTTGGGGTATTTTTGTTATTAAGTAAAGAACAATGATCAGTTTAATAGAACAATGGGATCATGTCCTATAAGTCTAAATATCACTCTGTTGTATGTTTTGTACACAAATGTAGGTTTATACTTGATTAAAGTGTATAAAACAGGTTATGGCCTCATTACTTCTTTTCTTTGCAATATTATTACTCTACAAGTTCCCAATCACATAACCTTTCAGCAAACATACACAGAACAGATTTACTTTAATAACCCCAGCTTGTATTCACAGATACTTTTTATTTTACTTAGCCTTGACATTCAGAGAAACAAGACAGAAGAGCTATGTGTGTTATTCCAGAGTGCTTGAGGTGCATGACTAAGGAATTGACTTATTCATTCAGTCTCATACATTCTCACACCTGGCTATGATCACTGATTCAGTTTAGTGACACTCTGTGTGCTGTGGAGCATCACTTTCACTGTCATATGGCAAAACATTTACAATAGTGCAGTGTATTAATAAGTAAACATACCATTATTAATCTTCAATTATAATTATAATGACCCCTTCCAATATTCCATAACATTAGAATGCTATAGTCATAATTTATTCTCCACTATTCTGTGGAATAAATCCAGTTATTAAAAGATCATAATCAGCATGACTAAACAACATCCAACATCTAAAATTAATTACCTTAATTATGACAATATTTAGCTCTAAAACCATTTAAATAAAATTTAACAAATACAATTAATTTGAAAAAATGTATGTATATATAAAATATATGAATTATTTGTTGTTAAAATGTTACAGTTTAAAACTAATCATATACATATCATATTATATTTTAATTTGATGATTCTACGCTTTACTACTTTAATCTTTATTATATTTGGCTTTTGTAAGTATGCTTTGCTTAGGAAATCATCATGGAAATCAAAGTTTCTGTCAAAATACCATAATCATTAACTTTATGGTTTCAATAATATAATATTCTTGTAACTTTAACCTTATACTTTTCAGCACAATAAAAAAATTAAATAAATGAATATGTCAAATTCTCTAAAAGATTCTTACATTTTTTTGAAGCTTCAGTATTAATTTATTTTCTATTTACACAATTTGCTATAATTGCACAACTCCGCTATTTTGGCAGAAATGGTTAAATTCCATGGTATTTTTTTGTAAGCCTGTGTCATAAATTCTTTGGTCATTCTGTTGATTCGTGTTTCACCGGAAGTGACGCTATTGTAGGAAGTGTTTAGCGATGCGCGGGAGTTTATTGTTGCTATCTAGAGTTAGAGTTCGTATTAATTTTCCTCTTTCATTTAAATAAATAGCAGCACAGGGATTTGCATAGAATGGCTCAGCTAAACGAGAATGCTATAGTCATAATTTATTCTCCACTATTCTGTGGAATAAATCCAGTTATTAAAAGATCATAATCAGCATGACTAAACAACATCCAACATCTAAAATTAATTACCTTAATTATGACAATATTTAGCTCTAAAACCATTTAAATAAAATTTAACAAATACAATTAATTTGAAAAAATGTATGTATATATAAAATATATGAATTATTTGTTGTTAAAATGTTACAGTTTAAAACTAATCATATACATATCATATTATATTTTAATTTGATGATTCTACGCTTTACTACTTTAATCTTTATTATATTTGGCTTTTGTAAGTATGCTTTGCTTAGGAAATCATCATGGAAATCAAAGTTTCTGTCAAAATACCATAATCATTAACTTTATGGTTTCAATAATATAATATTCTTGTAACTTTAACCTTATACTTTTCAGCACAATAAAAAAATTAAATAAATGAATATGTCAAATTCTCTAAAAGATTCTTACATTTTTTTGAAGCTTCAGTATTAATTTATTTTCTATTTACACAATTTGCTATAATTGCACAACTCCGCTATTTTGGCAGAAATGGTTAAATTCCATGGTATTTTTTTGTAAGCCTGTGTCATAAATTCTTTGGTCATTCTGTTGATTCGTGTTTCAACCGGAAGTGACGCTATTGTAGGAAGTGTTTAGCGATGCGCGGGAGTTTATTGTTGCTGTCTAGAGTTAGATGTCGTATTAATTTTCCTCTTTCATTTAAATAAACAGCAGCACAGGGATTTGCATAGAATGGCTCAGCTAAACGAAGTGGACTTACCGCCAAACCTGTCATGTCTCAAAGTACGTTCTCTTATTCAACTTTGTTAAGTCTGCAGTTGAAACAAGATTAACCGCTAACGTTACCATTGTGTTTTTTTGCCGCTCACACGTGTATAATATAGTTTTATAATCTCAATCGCCAACGCATCTCACATAAAACAATAAAAAAAAAAAATCTACGTTTTTACAGTGTTACTTCAGTTGTTTGTTGATATAACACCAAATCTATTCACGATGTCATGTTCTTGTTTTATAGCCACTGGTTTCCTGATATTGATCAGAATGAACTGCATGGTTTTATACATCAATATGCACGTGTCACAGTGTTATAGATATCCAGTAGTCATAAATCTGGATATTCCCAGGTTCGGTGACATCAGATCTTGTTTATCTTTGTCTGTATCAGAGCATAGACACTCTCCTTCGTTGTCCTATCTGCTTTGATTTTCTCAACATCACCATGATGACCCAGTGTTCTCACAACTGTACGTATACATTTACAGTTCCGTTTATAACCGTTTGACATGTATGATGTTTAACTTGCCATAATTGCTTTAAGCAAGATACAAAAGTCATTGTCTTTTTTTTTTGTGCTATTCCAACAGTTTGTTCTCTGTGCATACGGAAGTTTCTCTTCTATAAGTTGTTGTGTCCTGTTTGTAATTTGGTAAGTCTCGTCAAAATAATATTAATATGACTGTCAAACCTTCCTGTCAGATATTCCAGTAGTCCTCCACTGGATGGGGATTTTACATTGGATGTCAGGTTGATAAATCTCTCTCTCTCTTTCTTTCTCTCTCTCTCTCTCTCCACACATACACACACACACACACACACACACACACACACACACACACACACGTGTGTGTGGAGAGAGTGAAATAAATCAGTTAAGTAAGTAATATTGTGAAGTATGATGGCAAAGATGAATTTTCAAAAGGCTTTTCTCTAGTCTTCAGTGTCGCATGATCCTTCAGAAATAAATTGTAATATGCTGATTGTGCTCAAGAAACATTTTTATCAATGTGGAATCAGTTTTTGCTGCTTAATATTTTTATGGGAAAAAAATGTATAGTCTTATTATAATACAGCAAGCTTGCACTAAATTGATCAAACGTGACCATAAAGATATTCATACAAAAAATCTATTTCAAGTAAATGCTGTTTAATGAACTTGGTTCTCAACATTAATAATTGTTAACATTTTTAACATATCAGCATATTAGAATAATTTCTGAAAGATCACTTGACACCGAAGATTGGAGTAATAGCTTCTGAAAATTCAGCTTTGCCATCACAGGATTAAATTACATTTCAAAATATATTCAAATAGAAAACAATTTTTTTAAACTTGTAATAATACTTGACAAGATTACAATTTTTACTCTATTTTTAATCAAATAAATGCAGCCTTGGGAAGCATAATTATTATTAACTTCTGGCCGCTACATATAAACATTGCTGCTATTGCAGTTTAATGAATTTATTAGCATATTATTCTGATATGCTGATATGTTTCCATTAATCTTCGTTTAACTCTCCTTGCAGCCATCAACAGAACAAGACCTGAGGAACAACAGATTATTAGATGACATAGTTCAGAGCTTCCAAGCAGCAAGGTAAAGTTTATATCTGTTTAAAATATGAGCATTTAGTTCATGTATTTATAAGGATGCTTTTTTTTTTTTCAGTGGACCTATACAGTATGTATTCTGCCGACTTCTTTTGCATATTGCATTTTTTTGTAAAGTTTATATCTGTTTAAAATATGAGCATTTAGTTCATGTATTTATAAGGATGCTTTTTTTTTTTTTCAGTGGACCTATACAGTATGTATTCTGCCGACTTCTTTTGCATATTGCATTTTTTTTGGGGGAAATATGGAATTCTACAAAAGGGTTTTAAACAGGGTAAAATATGTTAAACTCACATTTTTATACTATCACTTTGTGGATGAATCGTGATTAATTTTTGCAGAACTCTAAAGAGCTTTCTGAGAAGTTCTGTGGCTGCAAATTATGTGTGGGTCTGAATAGCAGTCTTATAGAAAGTCAGTGGAAGTTAATTAATGGGTAGTGATAAAATTCAACAGGAAAAAGTAATTAATTCAAATTTAATGGAAAATACAGGTGAAGTTAGTTTTGTAACGTCTTAGCCTGCCATGAGATTCTGGATTTCCTTTAACAATCATGTGGGATTTTATTTTCAGTATTCGGGTCTATATTTTTGGCATACTTCACCTGCTGCAGAAGCTGCTTTCTCTTCAAACGGTCTTTAAGTTCTCAGACTGTACACATACAGACATACAGTATTACAAAGTCTTCACCGGACCTAAAGTAGTCGTCAAGGAATGTTTTTTTTTAAACATTGTTTCACCTGCTGTCTTATATTAATACTTTTCCCAAATGTGTACCTCACATTGAATGTAAAATAGAGTGCACACAGTAGATTTTATTTGAGATATTGTTTTTTAATTCAGTCTCTCAAGGCGCCATCAGTCTCCTCTGTTTTGTCTGCCTGTGAGTGTGCCTAATATAGTTGGTTGGTGGAGTTACAGATGACCATCAGGATGAAGAGAGAGGTGCCTTTTGAGACAGTGTTTTAATTTCCTGTTTTCTCCCAGTGATGATGTCAAAGGCATGTGTCATCTTTTAGGACAGGACATTGGGGACAGTTATTAAGGCTTTTGATAATCATTTAGACATTTAGCAGACACTTTTATCCAAAGCGACTTACAAATGAGGACAATGGAAGCAATCAAAATCAATAAAAGAGCAATGATATACAAGTGCTATAACAGGTCTCAGTTAGCTTAATGCAGTACACGTAGCAAGTTTTTTTTTTTTTAAATCATATAATAAATAAAAAGAAAACGGATAGAATAGAAAAAGAATAGAGCACCGTTAGTAAATAAATAGAGTGCAAGTCTAAAAGGGGCAATTTTTTTTATATAAAGAATAGAATTAGAATAGAGAGTGCTAGAGTTAATAGATATAGATACAGCATTGCTTTTATTTTTGTTTACATTTCTTTGGCTAGTGTATCTTGGATAGAATATTTTTTCGTGATATTACATATGTATATAGTGTTTTTTTTTTTTAAATAAGTGGAATAATCATGGCCCAAGTAAGCCGAGCGCCTGTTAGCAAAGACAGCAGATTTCAAATCTCATACTGTCCTGCGCCAGCTGGGAAACTGTCATTGAGTTGAATGGGAATGCTAATGAATAGCTTTCTCCCGATATTATAGAGCTTCTTGGTCTCAGTGAGTGCAATTAGCCTTGTTTTCCAGGTCTGATAATCGACTCCTCTGAGCTACTGCTGTTGCAAGCTCATTGTCTCCTACTCTTCCTTCTCTTGCAGTTGGAAGATCAAAGAGTTTCCAAAGAGATCCAAGTTTTCTGAAATTTCATTTCCATACAAACTGGGAAAGCTTGGTTTTTCTGCCTTTATAGGCTTTAAGATGTTGACCCCAGTATTTTTTGCTGCTATAACCCACTTGAAAGCTACTGAAATTCAGATTTTTTAAATCGTATAAATTTGGGTTTAAACTCAGAATGATATACTCTTCAGTCACGCCTATTCTTTATAAACCTTTCCAAAACTGTGGTTCGACCACTTTGCCCTGTTTTCTCAGCTGGAACCTGCTGGTGGTTGTGTAACGTATTTGGTTCTCTACAGCAATACATTTTCTTGGTGTGTTCTGTTTGCCTTACTGGATTCACAGCAGTGCTTTGGGGGACTGAAAGTAGACCGTATTTTCTGTGGTCTGTGAGGGGGTCCATGAGGGTTTTTTCATGGTCTTGACTGGGTGGGTAGTTATGCCTGTAGTTACAAGACTGCAGTTGATTTTTTAAAAGCATTACAGAAGAAAGTCCAAAAAATCAGGACAGTTTGTTATTCATTAGTAAAAAGGGATCATATAATTTTTCCTAATAACCTAAAAATGTTTTTATCATTTTATTTTTTGCATGAGGTCCGCAGCTTATAATATTAGTCAAGGTTTTTTGCTCCAAACAGTCATGATTTAGTTAGTATAATCACGACTATTCCACCCTCTTTCGGACCCTTTAAAGGGCATGCTTTATTTTCTGTTTTGCTGCTTTGTCTTTAAGACTTCTACATAAACACCTTTGAAACGTGCTTGTGATATTTCGAGTAGATTTCAACACGGTATGAACAAGTGTGTTGCATTATGATTGCATCTGTAGTTGTTTTCAATAAATGTTTAAATACCGGTTAAATCTTGTTTCTCATTGGCTCATTTGATGATAGCTTTCTGCTACTTAATAACCTTAGTCATGGTGCCATCCTGTAAGTAGAGCTTTCAGAGTATGTACAGTGGGTATAGAAAAGAATCACCCCTCTTTAAAATAATCACATTTTGTTGCTTTGCAGCCTGAAATGAAGACGGACACAGTATTTGTTTTATCCAGCTGTATTTAAAACTGACACCACCATTCAGATGATAACGTAGACCCAAAATGGTCACAGCTGCTTTAATTCAGATTGGGACACCTTGTTTCTTGTTCTTTTTTCTTAAGTGTTTTGTTTTGTGTGCGTATATGTGGACTAATGGGCAGACAAAGAGAAATAAAAGGTTTCAGTATGGAAAGTAGTGTTTGCACACCTCATTGACTTCACTTTATGGCTCTGTAATGGCCTCACAGCCACTCTCTGCGTTTGTTGGCTTACCACATATCCCCTGGAATTGCGAAACCGACAGGTGCTTGCCTGCATTCACTCTCTCTCTCTCACTTACTTTTATGTACTCCTTTCTCTTTATACACTCCTTCTGCCCTCCTCTAAAATTATTTTTCACAATTTCATCTCTCACTGTCCCTCAGTAGGGAAGCGGAGATATTCGAAGGCTTACACGTTGTATAGAGAAGCACAGTTTTGCTGTCAAAAACAAATTGTCACATTAGTGGCTCAAACAGATGTTCAAACAACCTTTCTTTTTTTGTCCTTGACCCAGTTTGTTCTTCAAGAATTTTTTGTGTCTTTGATATTACATATTGTATGTCCCTTACATACACCACATGGCCCAAAAGTTGTGGAAACCCCTTTTATCCTTGCAAGTCTGCTGGCACAAAAACCCACTCATTGATAATAAGAAATGTTTCTTGTGCACCAAATTAGCATATTAGAATGACTTCTGAAAGTACACCGAAGAGTGGAGTAATGGCTGCTGAAAATTCAGCTTTGCCATCACTGGAATAAACTAATTTTTAAAATATACTAAAATAGAAAACAGTTTAAGTCTAAATTTTAATATTATTTCACAATGTTACTTTTTTTTTTAAAATTACTTATTTACTTTTACTGAATTTGTGATCAAATAAATGCAAATCAAAAAAATTAACTACACATATCTTTCTCATCTCACCAGGCAAAAATTGTGTCACTCAAATTTGGAATCACCCCCTATTTCACCTGAAACCCCGGCTATGATGATCAAAGGCAAAGCAGCAAGACAGAAGGGCCTCAAAAAGGAAGCAAACACCCTCAGTCATTTTTTCCAGAAGAAGACCCCTATAACTGCCTCGTCAAGGACCCAAACAAGTCTTGAGGTTCACATGCCAGTCAAATCGGAACCTGTGGAGCTGTGTGTTCGACAGCTAGGCAGCGTCAAGCAAGAAAATGTGGAAGATACAACGGGAATGGTGAAAGACGAAAAGATGGATGTAACTGCTTTTCCTTCCACGTCACAAAATAAATTGCTAGTTAAAGGTGATGTGCACAATCTGATATTTTGTTGCAGACAGTTCTATTGTATGTTAGAAATAAACTTGTATATTAGTTAAATGTTAAAACAAGTAATGGATTTTTCTATCAGACTATTACATGGATTATCCCTTGATGCATTGATAATGGGTTGCCCTCTGATGCATTGATTTGTTTTCTTCACAAGTGAATTATTATAATTTTTTAGAGTGGGGAACCCCTTTTAAACACAACTGTGCATGTTTTCTAGAGATTTTAATAGGAAGGACTCAGTACTGGTAATAATAAGCAATTATTTTTAATAATGTGTGTTGCAGTGGATTGTCCTGTCTGTGGAGTAGGTGTGTCCGAACAGCACATTAATAAACATCTGGATATGTGCTTGAGCAGAGACGATAAGAAGGAGGGATTGAGAAGGTATGGAGAATATTTGCCCCATAATGCAATATTACAATGTGAAGTTTGACAGTACAAATTGTCTTATATGATTGTATAGAGGAAATCAATTCAGAATCTTCTTTCAGGTTTTATCAAGTTATTACTTGGTGAAATTGCTTAAATGCAGTAGGTCAATAAAAATAAGTTAATACCGAATAACTGACGTTTCAGACACAATATTTGTAGATATTGTTTATTTTCACGAACGAACGTAGTTTCAAAAGAATCTAAACCAGGATCAAATGTTCAGTGTAGCATATGCAGGCAAGAGGAGTGATGCAAACGCCAAAACATTTCAAATATCTCGAAACATCATTTGTCCAACCAAATAAGTGGAGCAGAACTAATTGCTGTATTATATAATTTAATTCACTTTTCTTAAGATTGTGCAGATTGTGTGCTCAGATGTCTTCTAGACCTGTTTATTTTTCTACCTAATCAAGAGACTCTTTACAACCATGTATTTATTTATTTATTTTTATTCTTGCATGTGTCTGAGTTGGATGGAGTTTAACAAATGAACTAATTGCGGCTGAAACAGCTTTTCTTGAACCGATTTTAAAAACTGTTCACCAATGTTCTGTGGTAAATAATTATGGGCGCTTGAAAATTAGTTGACGAGTACTTGTGGTTAAAGAATGGATTAGATCCTTATTAAATAACGTTCTCTATAGATTATAGCTTGTCTTTGTCCCTCCCCTTTTTCACCCGAGGGACATTCTGAAGGGCCGACATTTTGGTTTGTGTCTGATTGACAGAAAGCGTGATTTCATTTACTGGACACCTTGAGGGTAACGTGATTAATGAGGGCATGCCATGCATCAGCATTCCTGTGGCCATTAAAATTATTACAATGTTGCTTTTTATTCTTGGTGCGGTTCGCTATGTCATCCGTCAGGATGGAACGATAACAGCTTCGCGGGCTTATTGTTGTTTTTTTTTTTTTTGTAGCTGTCCTTATAATAATTTATCATTTTGAGCAGGAGTCCAGGATTGATTGGGAAAACATTTTTAAAATGCAACTACTACAAAGAAGAGCAATAAGACGGCATTATAAAATATATGCCCAAACGAACCGAGCTAAGGGGGGAAACGCACCAGGTTCCGAAACAACGGGCCAGGTGTGAAGATTTAATTAATAATTCACCCTCATATTAAACTTTTATCACTTTCTTTCTTCTGTGGGACAACATTGGGTGGCAAAGTACACTGGACAAAAACACTGAGACTTTCTTATTTTGGAATCCACAGAAAAAAGGAAGTTATACAGGTTTGGAATGAGGGTGAGCAAATGATGATAGCATTTTCATTTTTAGGTAAACTGTGCCTTAAATCACTACAGCTATTTAACTGTACGGCCTGAAGGTTGTTGTATCCAGTATAATTGAAAACGAAGAAATATTGCCGCATTAGTCATATTCCGATTCATGAGTAATACTATCTTGTAAATCAGCCTTTCAGGAAACGAAGTGTAAAAGTATACAAAAAGCAATTTGAAAAAAAATATATTACACATCATTCCTAATAAGATACCAATAAGACAGTGTTTTTAGGCCATTTTCTGGCCTCTTTCATAAGCATGCCACTTCTTTCTTTAATTGTTTATGTGACACATTTCATGAAGGAAATCATCATACATAAAATTATGTATGATGTGATCCCCTAAAGACCACACAAGTTAATAAGTAAATGGCAATATGGCCAACTACCAGGATCATGCCATCCTAACAAACTGAGCAACCGGACAAGGACATCTCTAAGAGAACTGACCCAGAAACCAGTGTCAGTGTCTTGGAGAAAACCTTTTTTGAGAAAGGCTGGCATTAAATCATGTAAAAGCCATGAGACAAAACCTGAACCATTTTGGTAGTAAAACATTTTTTGGTCCGACAAGATTTAAGTTCTTTGGCCTGAAACCAAAGCGCTATGGTTGGCGAAAAATACAACTCGGTACCAGATAACACCTACTCTGCCATGGTGGCAGTTTTGTTTTGGGGGATTTCTTTTTCACATGGTGGAACTGGAAAGTTTGTTGGCATCAAGGCCAAAATGGATTAAGCCAAATGCATGCAAATCCTTGAGGAGAACCTGTTTCAGTCAGCCAGAGATATGAGTTACTTTCCAGCACAACAGTTGCCCAAACTACACAGCAAAACTATGACGTTGTGACTTTATAGTTAGCATTCTAGACACTTGACTTGAAAATCCAATTGAAAGCTTGTGCTATGACCTGAATAGTCACTCTCCATCTAATTTGCTAGAGGTACTGCACATTTTTTATTGAAGAATGGGCAAAAAATGCACAGTTAAGCTATTGGACTATATTACTTGGTGGAAGAATTGATAGTGAATATTATTAAACGTACACTATGTAACTTTTGGCCCTCTAGCTATTAATAATTAAAACTGCATGCATCTTGCATGTCTTGGAAGAACATTGTTTTGGTTGTACTTCGGCTCTGCGCGCATTAATCCATGAATGTGGTTTGTTGTACACATTGAAATGTACCATGTACACACTGAAATCTAAAAAAAGATGTAATCTGAGAGGGTAAGTCTTCAGGGTTTGTTTTGAGTTATTGGAAACATTGATATTTTTAAATGAATGACGTTACATAAGTTTGGATGTGGATGAAGTGCAACCAAAACACAGGCTCAAGTGATAACCAGTTTAGATGGAAAGGGTCGCAGTTTGACTCTTTAGACAGCTGAAGACATTAAGTTGGCAACCTATTAGCTTTATAATTTACACGGTCCATCCTTGAAACAATCCGTAATGGGATGACCCTTTACAATAGCTAATGCTATCTAGTAAACTCACACTGCTGTTAGAGCTACATGGTAGCTAGCTACTCAGTAGCTGGATCTACTTTTCTCTATTTACGGCTATGGTGGGACCCACACAGGCAAGTGACAATTTTACGCAATTGCCTGTGAAATCCATCTCAGCAGGTCTAAAATATAAACACTTAAAAGCTTACTGTAGTGTTTCAGGTTAATTTTTAAATATTTATTTAAATTTAGTTAATTTTGAACAAAAAAGTAATAGTGTACTTTTAATTAAAAATTGAATTATAAAACATTCTTGTCTCAAAGGGGAGGAATATTTATTTATCTTAACATTTTCAGGTAACGAACACCCTCTTGTTGCTTATAGATTTCATGTGCAAAATTACCATAGAACCCAAATCTAAAATTGCTGCAAAAATACTTTATACAAAAGCTGAAGAATTTCAGGAATTGTTTTTGTAAATTTGTTTTGAATGATTAAAAAAAAAAAAATTGTATTTTTTATTTATTTATTTTTTTTCTGTATAATTTTCAATGTATTTAACATTTTTTCCTTTAAGTGACTCTGTGACTTGTTTATGTGTTTGTGTTTCAGTGGTGGAAGGCGAAAGGCGATGCCTAAGCTCTTGTACACTTTGATTTCTGTTCCAAAACTCAAGAAGATGCTTAAAGAATGCCACCTGTCCGCTCAAGGCAGCAGAGAACAGCTCGTGCGACGCCACCAGCAATTCACCCACATTTATAATGCACAGTGTGATGCACTCAACCCCAAACCAGGTATAAAGTCAGAGATCAATAACTGAATGAACAAATTAATAAATATATGGTGAATTGGAAGATGTTGTTTTAAAGCCATTGGAAAACATGGTTGGGGTTTCATGTAAACGTGTGTTTCTAACACGATGATGAATGACATGAATTAGCCTATGTTTTGACCCAGCCTGTATTGCTGGTGAAAGAGTTTAGCTGAACACAGCTTCACTCTTTCCAGTGATTGTAGGTGGTGGAATGTAAATTATGTGCTGGAGTTAGTCACCCTGTGGGGACCCTGGCACAAAAATGACAGGGCTGGTGGAAAAATACAGTATTTGCATCCCTCAAGTTTTGTTTGAGTTACTGCTTCCCTTCCCACTGACCCTTTCAGAGCTGAATTCATCTCTCTTCATTGAGGTGTCAAAGGTTTTGCAGGAAACCTTCTATTTTTCTTTCATTCGCCTGACGTTACCATGGTTTCTGTTTAAGAGCTGGGCTTGAGTGTGGAATGTTTTTGTTTTTTTTCACACTACCTGTGAGGTTCTGTTTTGTCATATACAATGGCAGATTGAATTGATAAATTATAGAACTCAAACTGACTTCTATGCCACAAGATTGTGTAAAACCTAATGGTCATGTTATACAGAATGATATGAGAATGGTCATCCCTTTTGTGTGCTTTAATCGATGCAAGAAATCCAAATAGGTACTGTACGTATTGGGGTGGGATTTTTATGTATTTGTATATATTTACATGTTGTTATTTTCAGAAAAGGTGGTTGTATTTTATAGTTAATGTTTTTGCTTTTTCTTTTTCTAACAGCTGGAGAAATTGCCAAAGAACTTGAAAACAACGAGAGGTTAAAGAATCAGTTGGAGAGTAAACGAAAACCTGTATGTGCTACTATGGATTGTCATTTCTATAATATAAAAATATATATAAATGTGTATATAATGTCATATATATATATATGTCTCTGTTGCATTTTATTTTTATCTATAAAATAAATTTTTGTGATGGTTCAGCTTTTTAAAAGTGCATTCATGTTGAAACAACTCCAGCATTTAGATTTATTCTTTTTTCATAATGTTTTGTGTCTGACAGTTAATCGTCACTACGAAGAATCAGACAGCTGAAGAAATTGAGGAGTTACACTCAAAGTACCGTAAGTCCTGGCTTTATAAAAACTTACACTGAATAAAGAATGAGACTGTTGCTCTTGTCAGTTTAGAGGAAGTGATGTCCTTGCACTGATGTTTGAGTGATGTCACAACAGGGTCAGGTTCATTCTCCTGCTTGTCCTGTGCATTATAAAATAAAAATGTCTGTTTGATTTATGTACCGAATAACATTACTATCTCCTACCTCAAGGTTGACTGAGCATATGTAATCTGAATATTTTTGTATATTATTAGGTAAAGATATTAGCAAATGTTTTTTTCCCGTGGCTCCAGTATAATATTTTTATAGTGTTTGGGGTGAGTCTTCTCACTTTTTTTGTGGACAGTGTTCAGTAAGTCTTTGAGATGAGAAGGCAGTCTGTCTTAGGCATATTCCAGTTCTGAGTCTCTGAGTCTCTTTAAAAGATGTACCATGGTGTGAGTTGCTGTTATATGTTGTTGTAACTAGTTTTTAGTGAAAAATATTGTTTAATTACATTAAAGAAGTGTTGTAGCTATGCTGCAGTGAGTTGCTGAGCAGAAAATGGCTGCAAGATTGAAGGTGCAGCTATGATCGTAATCATCAAAAATAATTTTTCTGATTTGCCGCTTCCACCTCATATGTCAGATCTTCTTGTTCAGGTACGGTTTGGACTCTATGCAGAACTGTGGTGCAGAGATTTCTAAACCGAATACAGATTTAGCTAGGTCTTGAGTGGAGCTGCATGCTTTCATTTTGAAGTTTCTCTCCTGATGATTTCGATATGCATAATCTCTCTTCGGTTATCTTAAGTAGTTCTCAGCCAAAATGTTTTCCAGAAACCTTTGCCTTTTGTGACTCCAAGTTCACTAAGCAGCTAAGTGCGTGTGTGTGAGGGAGTGAGAGAGGAACGGAGAAAGATCCCTCAAGGGGTTGGAGGGGAAGGCGGTGATCAATACGACAATACCAACAGGGTCTCAAGATCGATCCTACCTCATTAAATGTTCCAATCTACCTTAGTGACCCGACTCAGAACGCTTAGACCAAGAAATCAGACAATGGGCTCCAAGCTTTAAAAATACTGTCCCCTGTTTGATGGACTGCCAAGAGGGCTTTAAGGGAATCAGCCGATGACACAAATGAACAAGGTTGTAAGTCAGTTTGTGTTTTGTGGTGTTTTAATGGAATAGAATTAAAACAATTTAATTTGTGTTGTGTTAGTGGAGGAGATGATTATCGTTGAAAACATCTTAAAATATGGTCTATTCCTCAAACAAAGCTATCATATGACTTCAGAAGACTTATAGTCTTATGGACCATTATGTGACACTTTTATGGTATTTCTGCATCTTTTTTGAAGTTTGAAAGCCTCATTGAGATGGGAATAATAATAGAAAAGCGACCAGTACAATTCTACTTTTGTATTCCACAGAAGAAAGTAAGTCATACAGGTTTGGAATGACATGAGAGTGAGAAATGATAACAGAACTGTTATTTTTGATTGAACTGTTCCTTAAACATAAACCTAAGAAACTGAAGATTGAAGATGTTCACCAAGTAAACTAAATGTCCTTTAATTGTTTCTGTTTATGGATATTTATCCTTACAGATCCAAATGTTGTGCCCTATTAACTTCAACTCTAAAGGTTTTGTTCCTTGTGTTTCTATTTGGCATGAACAGGTTACAGCTTCTAGTCCTATAGTGGCGTCTCTGCTATAATAAAACCCACTTACCCTATCAACCTCCTCCCATTAGAAATAAAGCCATTTAAGGTGGATTGGTGTAATTTTTGCCAAGTGAGAAAACGTGGCCCATATTTGTCATGTAAAATTGACCTAGCAGCAAAAGATGAAAGCCACTGTGCGATTAGGGCAGCCAGACTGATGTTGGAGACAGGATGTTGAAATATTGATGCGCAGCACGGAGGAGATCTATAAATAGCGGCATGCCGAGATAAACTCTTGATTAATCATCAAAAGGGCTTGATGATTCACCAGCTTCATGGAGTGTCCGATGAATGGGGAAATGACCCGGGGTGAATAAGACACCCCAGAAATCTAGCTTTTCTATACAACAGGTTCATCCTAAATAATGAAACAAAACTGTCACTGTTAGGCCATAGCGCAATTCTATAAACAGAATATCATTGAAAATATTTCTTTAATATTTATGTATTTATTAATTTATTTGTTCATATATTTTTGCATTTATTTAAAATGTTCTTTATCATAGCACTAGGGAAGCTTTGTTTCAATTGTTGAGGAATTTTTTCATGCCCTTTATATATAGCGTTTTACCTTTCATTTACCAATTTAAACCCAACCATCTCTGTCAGAAATGAAAAATGAAAATGAACAGAGCACTGAACTGTTTTCTTGTACATGCGTTTATAATTTTGGCACATATGTGTTGTGTGGAGATGTTTATTTTGTTGGATGATTTTGTTTCAGAGTCTTAGATTAGATTGTACACTATAATATTGTTTATAGTTGTGTTCTGCAAGTCATTACATTTGTAGTCTTTTTTTTTTTCATTATTTGTTTGTTGTATATATATACACAAGGATGCTAAGCTCAAGAGCCTGTCGGGTAACTGGCCATTATCAGATCTGATCCTGCTTTTGTCCACAGTAAATAACTCCGAAGCCTCAGATTTCTATCCCAAGTTTCCTGAGCATGATGCAATATGACTTGAGAAAGAAACAGAATATTTAGACATTGAAGTCTTGTAACACTTTACCACCCACTCCTTAGTAATGGTTTCAAGATTCCTGTAATGTTCTTTTTGTTTTGTCACATGGTCATATTTTAATGTAGACTGTCACCAAATAGGAACGCCTGTTAAATACAAAATCTGCAGGGGGGGACTTGATATTTTTGTTTGTTGCATCCCCGGATATCTAAAATAGCAGGAGAAAGCCATCTGTTATCATTCCCAATCATCCCCTGTGTTTATCTGGTTTAAAGCATTGTAGCATTATGAGAGTAAGCTGTGTTAGCTATCCGTAAACTACTACTTCAAGGCTTTTAAGTTGTTATCCTAGCAGCTTCACAGCTTCTTTTGCTTATAGCAAGAATGAATAAATTCAAGAACTTGTATCATGTTTGATATGAAAACACATGATATGTGTTTTCACAATTTATAATGCTGTTGGCTCTGGAAGAAAGGTCTGACTTCATTGTTTACTGAGTGTCTTCAGCATCAGAATGACTTGTGCAAGAAGAGACGCAGATCAGATACAGCTGGTGGGTGGCATGGCTTGGGCTAACTTAAAACCGTTTTTATTGAGATCTGCAGTTTAGATGGATAGATACTTGTATTAGTTCCACGAAGGAAATTGCAGAGCACAAGTGAAACATAAGTTAATCAACACAGCATGGTACAGCATACTTCAAAACTGTGCATATGCACCTAATATAATAAAAATACAGGATACTCGAATAATTTAAAACATGCTTTTAAAAATGACAAATTTACAAGACGACAAAGTTCAAAATTGGAATTTATATTTTCTGGTTCCATTTAGCATTCTGGTTCATAAATTATTCACATAAGGATTTTTTCTTCACTTATTTTTTAGGAATAAATAATGGAGCTGATTAGACATGATGCCAATTTGTAGGTTGATCCCAAAGACTAATTCATCATGGGTTCTCTGGGGAATTTAAATGTTTTTTTGTTTTTTTTCTATAGCTGTTTTCAGTTTGTAGTTGTTTCTAAACTTTGCCCACATAAAAAGGCAGTAATTTCTCAGACAGTCAACAAGTCATTATTCCTGAGATAAAGTTCCCTATTTAGCAATTCTGTGATTAGCCAGCAGTGGTTTGTCAAAAATGACACTAAATAGACTTTCTAATGGAATTGCCAAAATGGGCTTTCAGCTGTTGTAGTATGACGTAAGATATGTCAGGCTAACGTGCCATAAAGGCCATGACTAATGCACACCATGTACAATTGAGATTAGAAGCCACGCGCTCTGTTTTCAGTGAGTAACAACAGTGTGGTTGAGATAACACTATATGAGTAATGTCGCTCAGTGTGCCGTTTTATTGGCTAAAAATTAGGCCTTAAGAATAACAGGACCCTGCTGTGAAAATTGTGGTTATGTTTTCTTGTAAGCATTACTTCCATTAAATTATTGGTGTACCTGCTTACTAGGCTAAAAACAAAGATGACTTGATAGGATTTTACACATGTTGGATTCTACACATGTATATGTTTGTTTTTGTAAAACTACGTTCTTTAAGCTATTCACCTTTCACTTGATTTTTCAAATGGGAACCATATATATGTGTTCCATGAATAAAATGCAAATATGATAAATTCAACCCTATTCAGTTATACCAGATATACTGGGAATAGAAACAGGATTCATATGCTGTATCGCAAACAGACACAGATGAATGTCAGGGTCTGAGGACATTTAAAAGCAGTGTGTCAGTGATAGTGAGCTGTGCTGGATATCTCTGTAGTTTTTCTCCTGCAGTTCTTCGTCATTTTAGCCGATCTCTTCTTGGGCTTTTGGCTGATGTGATTTTAAAACCAAGTTTTATGACCTTTCATCTGCTTTTGTTGTTTTTCACCACTACATTTATCATGGTCTGCCTTGTAATGCCAGTGCTTTCAGAGTCACTGTTATTTTCCATTGCAGGATTCATTCTCTGTTAGAAGAGAAAGCTAAGATTGAAATATAATCCTCTCATTTTCGGTACAAGATACATTCAGATTTTCCTTTTATGGCTTTGTTTTTTTACTTTATTAATGTATTTTGACATTATGTAATAATTTATTATCCAGGCATGACTGTTGTATAATGCAGGTTTCATTTTTATTAAAGGTTAAAAAGGTTAAATAATAAAGTCGTAATGAAAAAAGTTAGCTTGAAATCATAATTAACCATATTTACTTAACGGTGCACGTTCCTGATTCATTAGTGCACATTATTGCAAAAGGTGGGGAAAAATTTTATGAATCTTTCATCAAAATCGAATAATATGCTCCGCCTCCTGAAACTTTCCTTGAGGCATTCAGGTCTGCTATAGAATGCCCATTTTTCAAGCTTCAGTATTTGTTTCTAAATTTCTTTATATAAAGTAAGTTGAAATTAGTACTAAACACTTTATTTCTCTGCCTTTTGATTCCTTTACTTAGGGAAGCAGCACAGTAGCGAATTTTCCCGTTTGATTGCCCAGGTCAGAGGTCGTCTGGAGACATCCAAGAGAGCACAGATCAAACAAGAAGAGAAGTCTACAGAGGAGACAGACTCCAAAGGTCCCACTGTCTTCAGTTTCTCTTCAGATTGCACTTAAAGATGTTACATGTTTCCCCATACTGTTTATCCTTGTTTGAACATTAGTTAATATTGATTGATTGACGATTTAACTGATGGTCAGCAATGAATGAATTAGAAAATCTGACATTTGTTAAATGTAGGCAGGTTGTATAGGTCATTTTAGCTTGATTTGTAGTTAATTGTAGTTAACTGCTTAATGAAATTGCATATAGTCACAAATTTGAATAGTTGATATTTAATTAGGTCGTAGAATGTCCCGTAATCTCCAAGTGTCTTCATAATAAATTAAATTTTATGTTGACACTATGCTGGAAATGGTTGCTACTGCAGTGGTGCTCGAAAGTTAGTGAACCCTTAAAAATGTTCTGTAAATTTAACCTATATTCAGAATCCAACTGACAAGTAATTTAAAAATAAAATTGTTTTTTCATACATTTATTTACCAAAATGATCCAGAAGTCATTATCAGTTCATTTAAAAGTAATCGGAATAGGGTGATAAAAATCAGGTGAGAATTTAGGAAGCTGTGAGTCCATCATCAAGATAACACACAGAATGGTGTGCATGGCAGGATAACAAGGAGAAAGCCACTGCTCTCCAAAAAGACAGTGGACCAACATTTTTCCAATCTGACGTTCAGGACTGATCCAAAGTTGTTGTTGGTTTTTTTTGTAACATTTGGTTGCATTATTACTTTTCTGAAAAAAAAAAAAAAAAAAAAGGTTCACATACTTTTTCAACAAAGAGGTTCACTATTAGAGCATTTTAATTGGTAAACAAGTGAAAATATAACATGTTGTGTGTTATTTGTTTTGATTAGACTCTCTTTATCAAGTTTTAGGACTTTTAGTTTTTAGGAAATGTATGCAAAAAAAAATAAAAATGTAAATCTTATAAATCTACCACCACTGTAGTGACAGAGTTACTATATACTAAACTTTCAAACAGTGTTTGTGTGTGTGAATGAAATGTGCTGTACATTTCATTCACACACACACACACACACACACACACACACTGTTTGAAACTTGAGTACTTTTGTGCGGCACCTCAACAATTGCAGTAAACAAGTGCCTGCAGACCCCATCACTCGCTCTAATGATAATTCACCGGTCTCATGCTGTTATCAACAAAGCATTAATGGCTCTATATGTGGACTTCAGAGTCAGTAAGTAGTTTGCAGTGTAAAAATATTCGAGATTGGTTATCTCTTTATCATATTTTGGAATTGTCAGTTCTCTAATAGTGGTTATGTGTAAATAGAGATTTTGGTGGTGTGGTGATCAATACAAAAACAATACCTTTTTTATCACTCTGTAAATGTTAACGTTTTATATATATATATATATATATAGTGTTTATCAATAAATTAAAATTAA